CGTCACCCCCTGAGGGGAGCAGCCGGCGCGGCTCGGGGGCAGCTTTGGCCTGGGTGGGGGTGATCTGGGAACGGCCCTCACACGCCGGGAGGGGGCCCTGGCCCTCCGCCTGCCTGTGCAGCTCCGGGGGAGCCAGTGCCGAGGGCCTGACCCGGGTGGACTCTTCAGAAGTGCCCCAGGAGCTGAGGGGAGCCCCCGCCTGGCACCCCCTGCAGAGCCTTGCTCATGCCAGCGGAGGGGCTTCGAGGGGCTCTGCCAACGCACTTGCTGCCCCTCCCAGTGAGCTGGGCTTTCCTGCTCCCCCCGTGCCCGCCGGCGCCAGGGGCTGCATGGCGAGTGCCGAGCAGAGAGAGGGGTGGACTCTTCAGAAGTGCCCCAGGAGCTGAGGGGAGCCCCCGCCTGGCACCCCCTGCAGAGCCTTGCTCATGCCAGCGGAGGGGCTTCGAGGGGCTCTGCCAACGCACTTGCTGCCCCTCCCAGTGAGCTGGGCTTTCCTGCTCCCCCCGTGCCCGCCGGCGCCAGGGGCTGCATGGCGAGTGCCGAGCAGAGAGAGGAAACCCTGCCGAGAGGCCGACAGGCGAGGAATCCCTCGGGCCACAGCAGCCAGCAGGGCCGAGCCTGCTGCGGGACAGGGCCCGGATTCCAGCAAGCCAGGCTCAGCTCTGCTGAGAGGCAGCCCCATAAGCCAAGTGCACCCTGGATCTTGTGCCGGTCGGGCCTTGGGCCGCCCCGCCTGTCAATAGGGGCCATGGAGCCCACACAGGGGACCCCAATAGGCACGAGATGGGAATTTCATGCCCCTCAGACATGGGACCTGCTCCCCCAGATTGTAAGGTCAGTGGGGGCAGGGGAAGGGGGTTGCCTAAGGCCTGCAGGGTGAGGCATTAAACCAGTGGTGAGCGCTGCTCCTTTGCCCCAGACACCGGTGCCTGGTAAATACCCCCCCGCCCCCCTTGCTTAGCCCTTGGTGTGCTCAGAGCAACCCTGCAGGTCTCCCCCGCAACCTCCCGTCCTGGGGAGAAGGTCACTAGGGATCAGTCACTGTTGGGGGGAGGGATTATTTTGGATCAACTCAAAGTGAAGTTTTTTCAGATTTTCGGTAGGGTTGCCAGGTGCCCGGTTTTAAACCAGACAGTCCAGTATTTGAGCAGAAAATTCAGGAAACAAATTGAGAAAATATTAACGAGAAAATAGAACTGCCTGGTATTTTCTAATTAAGATGTCGTGTCGATTGTGATGGAACGTCAAGTGTGTCCCGTATTTTTGTTGAAACCATCTGGCAACCCTAATTTTCAGGAACTCTAAACAGTTGAAGAAACAACAGCTCGTGAAGCTGTTGGGTCAGGCTAGGACCACGTACCCGCCACGGGTCAAAGGCATTCCTTTTGCTTTAGCATGTTCGCAAAAGTTTCACCACTTTTGTAATAAACTGGAAGCAATTTTGAAAGAGTCACTTCGAACTGGGCTTCGAAACAAAACACCGGGCACGGCAAAGAATCCTAGACTAGACTAGAACACTAGAACTGGAAGGGACCTCGAGAGTGGCAGGACCCAGTACTGTCTAGACCATCCCAGATAGATGTCTGTCTAACCTGCTCTTCAATATCTCCAGAGATGGGGATTCCACAACCTCCCTGGGCAATTTATTCCAGTGTTTAACCACCCTGACAGGCAGGAAGTTTTTCCTAACGTCCAACCTAAACCTCCCTTGCTGCAGTTTAAGCCCATTGCTTCTTGTCCTATCCTCAGAGGCCAAGGAGAACAATTTTTCCCTCTCCTCCCTGTGACAACCTTTTCGATACTTGAAAACCGCTCTCACGTCCCCTTTCAGTCTTCTCTTTTCCAAACCAAAACAAGCCCAATTCCTTCAGCCTGGGGTCCCTCATAGCTCCTGTTCTCTAGACCTTTCATCATTTTTGTTGCTCTTTTCTGGATCTTCTCCAATTTCTCCACATCTTTCTTGAAATGCGGTGCCCAGAACTGGACACAACACTCCAGGTGAGGCTTAATCAGCGCAGAGGAATCAGAGGCCAAGGAGAACAATTTTTCCCTCTCCTCCCTGTGACAACCTTTTCGATACTTGAAAACCGCTCTCACGTCCCCTTTCAGTCTTCTCTTTTCCAAACCAAAACAAGCCCAATTCCTTCAGCCTGGGGTCCCTCATAGCTCCTGTTCTCTAGACCTTTCATCATTTTTGTTGCTCTTTTCTGGATCTTCTCCAATTTCTCCACATCTTTCTTGAAATGTGGTGCCCAGAACTGGGCACAACACTCCAGGTGAGGCTTAATTGGCGCAGAGGAGGGCGGAAGAACGACTTCTCATGTCTTACTCACAACACTCCTGTTCATGCAGCCCTGAATCATGTTTGCTTTTTTTGCAACAGCATCACACACTTGACTCATATTTAGCTTGTGGCTCACCATGACCCCTAGATCCCTTTCTGCCGAACCCCTCCCAGCTTCACATCATCTGCAAACTTAATAAGCGTCCTCTCTAGGTCATTATCTATATCGTCCATGAAGATATTGAACAGAACTGGTCCCAAAACAGACCCCTGCAGAACCCCACTTGTTATGCCCTTCTAGCAGGATTGTGAACCGTTAATCACTACTCTCTGAGAACGGTTATCCAGCCAGTTATGCACCCACCTTATAGTAGCCCCATCTAGGTTGTATTTCCCTAGTTTACTGATAAGACATTTTTTCCCCTATTTTTCTGACCAGCCAAATGCACCAAAACCCAACGAGCCTGGGCAAGGTTTCAGACAAACCAAAGCTGAATTTTTAGGGGGAAAGAGAAGGTTTGTCCCTCCCGCCCGAGAGCAGACAGAGCTCACTGGGCCAAGCCTTCTCCCCCCTCACCGCCTGCAACGAGCTGGATTCACTCACCTGCCAGGGCCAGCTGTGCGGCACGGTGTCCTCTCCATTCACCACCCGGGTGCTGGGGGCGTAGATGGGCGTCCCGCAGCTCAGGGCTGGAGACAGAGCGCTGTGCGTTACACAGCTGGCCAAGGCGCCCGACCCTTCTGCTGTGCACAGGAGGCGGGGCCGGCTCACCCTGGACATCCCCGGTCCCTCCCCCCGTCTTGGAGTTACCAAGGGGCTCCCTAGACCCAGACTCTCTGCGTGCGCCTGCCCAGCGTTTCACCCCCTCCAGAGCCAGCCTGCCTCCACATTTACACCACAAGCAGGCCCCAGGGCCGTCCCCATGCCAGCGCCTTGCACAACCTCTGTGGGTCACAGGGTGGCCGGGCAGGGGCCCACATCCCCGGTCCCTCCCCCCGTCTTGGAGTTACCAAGGGGCTCCCTAGACCCAGACTCTCTGCGTGCGCCTGCCCAGCGTTTCACCCCCTCCAGAGCCAGCCTGCCTCCACATTTACACCACAAGCAGGCCCCAGGGCCGTCCCCATGCCAGCGCCTTGCACAACCTCTGTGGGTCACAGGGTGGCCGGGCAGGGGCCCACGGCGAGTCCTGTGGGCCGCACAAAGCTCTGTGCAGGGGGCCAAGGGGAGAGCCACTCATCTTACCCCCAGCTGCAAGCAGAACGGGGATCAGCAGCCTCAGCATCCTGGCCAGAAGAGTCCACCGGGGCTCAGCCAGGGCCCTTTAATACCCCTCTCTATCAGGGGCTGCGGGAAAGGGCGGCACCGAAGGGCTGCGGGAGCAGGTGTTGCAACGCCCTGTGTCCCGGTGCAAGGTCACACCGAGGGAACGGGCCCATCCCGCGCCTGCCCGGCCTTGGGCGGATTGGGACGTGGCCA